CCCCCCCCCTTTTTCTAAGTCCCTTTTCTTTGTCAGGTACTGTGGACATGGAAGATTAGCATGGGTCCTGTGATAATAAGAAAAAGGAAAAATAAATTAGGAGGAAAAAAAGACATGGAAGATTAGCATGGGTCCTGTGAGAAGATGACCCACAAAGATAGGAAAAAAGTGCCTGTTTGCCAAAGAGAGCCTTGTTTTTTTTTTTTTGGACAAACAATGGCTCCGGCTGCTATTGGGGGTGATATGAGCATCCCTCAATAGCAACCTTCTGTCATTGGCTCTCCTGTCCATTGGTGGGGAGCATCACCTTCCAAAGAGGGCTAAGATGAGTTTTTAAGAAACAATTTGTCAGAACTTACCTGTACATTCGAGATGAGTACTGCCCTACAAGCTCCTTCATGAGAGGCAACTCGGATATCTGTTTGGGTTTGGCATGCAGACAGGCAAAGACCAGCCCCATCAGAACATGACTGCATGAAATTGTGCCACAAACACACTGCAAATATCTCAACTAAATCCAAGCAAGCATGACAACTTTCCCCTCAGTCACCTTTTGTTTTGCCCCAGTCTCCAGCTATACTACCTTCTTCCCCCTCCCCCCCAAGAAAAAAAACACAACGCACCCTCATTTTGGCTCTCTACTGGACCTGAAATTTAGCTTGTATACATTCATTTTCAGGGTGCATTATGTTCAGGGGTCAACGGTGCAAATGGGGACACCGGGAAACAGTTCTCAGCTACCGTCTTCACCCGAATAGAATGCCTGGTCATTATGGCTGTATTTAGGCCAACTTTCAGACCGGATGCAGCGACAATGACCGGGCGTTTTATTCAGGTGAAGACGGTAGTACACTTACCAGTCTGGACAGCATAGACAAGGCAAGTCATCAACTAGTACATTTATGACCCCGGACCGTGCAGGGATCCTTTTTCTCTGTTTGTAGTCATGCATACACCTGCCTGCCCGGCCGATAAACACAGGGCACATGTAACTAAACCAACCAGCACGTCAAGAGCTCAAATGCTGGAGATGATCCCATGAGGGGTGGCAGCGGTTAAATAAAAAGAAAGAACATGTTGGAAGCAGTAGAAAACCAAAAACTTGCATTTCCAGAAACCTGTTATCCCAACTGCTCGCGCATTTGTCTAAAGCAAGGACAATGCTTCCAAAGGGCAAAAATGCCTGGTAATTATCTCTGTATCTAGACTGAAAGGTGCCCTAAATACTGCGATAATGACCAGGCCTTCTATTTGGGTGACAAATACCTGGTAAATTTTGGTAATTATATAAATGGATTCACGCTGCAAGCTTTCCCATTCCCAGTTCCAGGGTCCTGAATTATCCCAGCCCAAGGCCCCCATCGATTAGAATACGAGGGTCTGTTGGATCCGGTGTTGCAGGCCGCTAGTCTACAGTACCGTACAGTACCTGTAGGAGCACATCAAGTCCCCAAAAGTCCAATTTTGCAGCAGCCTCACCAGAAAGTCGGGAACTTTCCCAAAATAGCAATTTGGCAAGGCAGAGGCCGGTATCGATTGAAGCAGGCACGGACAGCCCACTCACTGCAACTATATATTTTGGGCTACAGCGCCAGAAGGGTGGCAGTTGTTCATTTCGCAAATTTGTGGAAGTGCTGCTGGAGCTTGTGCAGACTTGGACAAAGAAGAATGCTGAAGGGAGGAAGAAGACCAGCGCCCTAGCGGTCAGCTAGACTGCTGCCGTGACACTGTAGGCCAGGTGATCCCAACAAGAAGCTGAAATGGACAACTCCAGCACCCTCAGCGCCTTCAGAAGTCTGGGCTGACCTCTGAACAGCACTGGGCTGTGATGTTGGCTGTTGGATCTCTGATGTGCAAGGACCTGGCGTCCAAGGCTCTGTACGAACCCCGTACAACCAACATTGAGAGATATAGAATATGGAGTCGGTGCTGCAGACCAGGGAACCTTCATATGGTTCTCAACCGAGTAGGCAGCTTGGGAGGGTAAAAAAAAAAAAAAAAAAAAAAAAAAAGGCAGCTTGGGTCCCTTGGGGCTACGACTCCCATGCCAGAGAAACTGCCCACTTCCGTTTACGGTGGTGGTCGTCGGGTATGTGGAATGATTGGAGGTTCTTGGGAATGCGGAAAGCTTATTTGCCGTAATTTTCGAGGTTCTCGTTGTTTCGCACTTTGCCTTGTCGTGTCGCCTACCTTGAGTGTGCTAGACTTGGTCGTGTATCTCGACGTGTGCGTAGTTGACTTGGCTTTCTTTCACCTATGTGAATGAGACTCTTACATGACATGCTATGACTGCCATGCCAGAGAAACTGCCCAAACAGCAATAGCAACGCAGACGATCTTTTGTTTCAAAGAAAACGACGAAAAACAAGTTTCACACCTCTGGACGAGACAGGTAGACAAATCCAGATCACCTGCAAGCGTACAGAGCCTGTTACATACTTCAATGAGTATGGGCAGAACCAAAGATCAACCAATGCAGGATGAGCATATATGCAGCGGAAGTCTGATAAACGGACTGACTCACATAGACTGACTCACCTAGACTGACTCACATAGAATTACTCCACACACATACAATCGTGAGATGGTGGGGTCTGGGCCAAGCATGGACGATGCCCAGATCCCGTACACACATACACAGATGAAAGGTGGGAGGAGAGACGAAGGAGGTGGGGGAGGTAGACAGCACCGGTAGGTCACCGAGATAGAATCCGATAGGTCACAATATGGTAGTCCAAAATGTCATCCAACAAGATCAAATTGTCGAGGACAATCAGTCACCAATGTCGGAGGTACAGAGTCCAAATGTAACCGGTGTCCGAACTGTGATGCCGCCAAGTATCAACCCCAACAATCTCCAAGTCTCCAATCCGGTAAGTATCACAGTCTCATACCACCGAAGTCCAACACTGATCTCTGTCCACTAGTATAAGTCTCCAATCTGAAGAAGAAGAAGAAGTCTGAAGAGAAGAAGAAGAAGAAGAAGCAGAAGAAGAAGAAGGAGGAGGAGCCGAGGAGGAGAGAGAGAGAGGGGGGACTGACGATGGGAGGGAGGAGAGAACCTCCGGCTCCCTGATACCTCAGGCGGCGATGGCCGCCGGTCTGGCTCAGTCGCCCAGCTGCTACTCCGCTCGCCGCTGCTGCGCTGATGCTGCGCTGCGCTGCTCCTCGCTGCTCCTGCGCTAAAGATAGCGCCAGCGCTAATGTGCGCTGTACCATACCGTACCGGTAGAGTGCCGGTAGGTCGATCCTTCGACTGAGGCTGGACCGGTTCTTTATACCGGTGGGGCAGAGGCCGGCCTCAATGCTGCGAGGCCTGGCCGTGCCCTGAACCGTCCAGATGGACGGTTCAGCCCCAACCGGCTGGCGGCAGCCTCAAGAGCGCCGCCAGGCCCAAACGGTAATGTCGTTTGGGCCTGCCCGTCGGGTCTGGTCCAAGGTGAGGCCTTTACGGCCTGTAGTACCCCCCAAGGTCGGGCCTTTGGCCCTACTGTGTCCCTCTACCCCTAGGACCCGTGTGGCGTCGAAGATGTAACAGAGCCCTTTGAACTGATCAGCCCTGTCAGGCTTGGGGTCCAGGTCACGCATGCCATACAAGCAGTTAATGAACCAGACGCAACTGCTGTCGACATGAATGCTGCAAATGAGCATGCGCACCCGAAGCACCCACACCTGTTGTTTCACTGCCAAGAGCCTTCTAGCACGTCAGAGTTGGTTAAACCACAAGTACATCCAGCTATCGGTCACGGGCGCCCATCAGAATCCAGTAGGCGACACAGGCCACCATTCTTTTTTTTCGACGGTGCGCCGCCTGCGCCATCTTTGTCGGAAGAAACTCGTAGGCGACGAGTTTCTTTTCAGCAAGGCTGGGGCCGTGTACTAGCGGTTTAATAATCATCCTTCGGCCTAGATTTCAAGTTTCGAGTGGTGATCTTATTCCTATTCAACACGATTTCACGCTCCTGCAATCGCCTGTTCTGTTCAAAGGTTCACCTTCACAATACCTGCTATATCGAGAAATGATACAGATCCTGTACCAAGGTACATTGAGCGGCACTTTGTTTTTACTTCTTTTTTGTTTTTCAAAGTTTTAGTACAGAATCAATACAGATGAAATGCAAATTTCTCGACTTGCCGGTGGAAAAGGAGCCGCAATGCTGCTCCCCAGAATAGAGGGAGCCTTGTTAAAAAAAAAAAGAAAAAAGAAAAAGAAAGTACAGATGAATTGCGGGCTTCCCAGATAAATACCTTTCTGGAAATGTCCGCAATGCGCCTACTCAGCTCCATGTGGAGGCCCCTCTCATAGCCCGTCATCCACTGTGCCATAATGCCGACAACTAGTGCCCTTGCCTCTTCCTGCAGGAGGGTGAAACCCCATCAATTTGCACCACAGGACAGCCCATGCCAGCTAAGTTTCCTAGACAGGCCCTTTGGGGAAAAAACCTTAAGCATGACTGAATGTGGATAAGACTCATAAGAGGGCAAAACCGCAAAACCACATAAATATGGACTAAAAGAACCTTCTTCCCCCGAATACGACGTACGGCTAGGTTACCAGAGTGGCTCGGGACCACTTGCCCGGCCGGCCCAAAAACAAATAATAAAATAAAAGATAATAGAAATAAAATTTCAATTTTTAATTTTTATTTAAAACTTGGTAAAGAATTTCGATGTGACCCTGAGGCAAAAGCTGTTCAGTTTCTTTTTCTGCATAACTGCCATAACTGGCATAACATAGTTTTTCCGGATTTTTATTATTATTATTATTATTATTATTATTATTATTATTTTGCTGGGACCTTCCCTGGTCCTTGCACGGCCGGGCCACCCGGGAAAACAGGGTGACCCGGGCGGCCCGGCTGGTAGCCTAGACGTATGGTCATTATACCTGTATTTAAACCGGAATATACCCCAAATACATAATGACGGTACACATTGTATTCAGGGGAAGAAGGTAGTAAAGTTCTAAGACTCGTATGTTTTATGAGCACTTAGGGCAATTTAAAAAACGGCGAAACGTCAGAAACATCAAACTGACCAACAGCTCTCCACAGGAAAAGAAAACAGTTTACGTCGTTTACAAGGCCATCACATTACTTAACACTGGAGGAGTTCGCTACTACGGAGGGAAGCATGACTGAACTCCACCCTTTGTGTGTATTTTCAGGACTTGCTAATGGAAAATGAGAACATGTCTATGAATGTAATCATGCATTTTGTTAACGCAATTGAAAATGTCAAGCCTATTTTAAAAGTAAGTAAAGTCAGAATCTTCAGGAACCACCCAATTAGTCTCATCCATCATACCAAAGAGTCGTCAAGACACCTTAGCTCTTCGCTCTTCGGTGAATTCTTGATAGCACCTTGTGGAGACGGCGTTTATCATAACATAACATTGATTAAGACCGGAGGAGTTGGCAAGGTTTTCTATTTGGGACAAAATAACATGTTCTGCAAAGAGAGAGGTTGCAAGCGCTGACAGGTTAGCGCTATCGCAAATGGCCCGGTGCGCTAACGCGCGGAACTGGCCGGGGGAGACAGGTGATGCCATCGCCCCCGGTGTCCATTGCCGGAGGCCATCAACTCCATCGCGAACGGCCCTGTGCGTTGACGGGCAAAAACTGACCGAGGGGGAGACCAGGAATTCCCTAGCGCCTGGCAACTACGAAAGGAAGCATGACTAAACTCCACCCTATGCATGTATTTTCAGGACTTGCTGCTAATGAAATGGAACAGCACAAATGCTCTCCAGAATGGAGGAACTTGTCACTTTGGCGGCAAAACAAACCATACCATTCATGCGCCACTCAGCAAGATGTCAAGGGTGCGAAATAGGCTAGCTGGACAGTCAATCGTCTGTCACTGGAGTAAAATCGGTGCTGTTCAGGGGAATCCGTCGGCCTAAACAGGCATAATCGTAGAATGTGTCAAACTAGATATTATATTTCAGGTTTCAACTTGCCTGGGAAAAGGCACTCGGCTGAGGCGCCCCAGAACCGACATGGAAAAGAAAGAAGTACTTGTGAAGTTCTTAACATGAGTACACAAGCATGCACACACAGACACACACACATGCATGCAGACTCTCTCTCTCTCTCTCTCTCTCTCTCTCTCTCTCTCTCTCTCTCTCTCTCTCTCTCTCTCTCTCTCTCTCTCTCTCTC